CGGTATTTTAAGCTGTACGCAATACGTCGATATTTTAAAGTGATATTTTTAATACTTCTGGACCGATTTAATCGATTTTATCATGTTTGTCAATAAGAAACGTAAATAAGTGGTCGAAATGAACGTGAAGGAGGCGATGGACTTTGGAACTCGTAAGAGACAAGAGTGCAGAAAGGCTGAAAGGTGGAGGACAGGATTCTTTTCTATTGGGAGACTGCGAACGAACCACCTCGAACTTGGCTGCTTCAACTTTGCTTGTGAAGAATCATCTCATCAGAAAACAACAGAAAAACAGCATTCATCGTGTGAGTTTTTTCCCGATCCATATTTCCTTAATTTTATTCCTTGGGGATTGCGCATACATAAATTTCAATTCATTTATTTTTTAACAATAGTTTAAATACTTGTTTATTGCATTTTAAGTTTTTTTTATATTGTATCAAGAAGAGTAGATTTTATTTTTTTTTTAATTTAAGTTCGAAGATTACAATTTAAAAGAAAGAAGGGTGTAAATATAATTTTAAAAAGAAATAATTGGATCAAATAAATTCTGTATCCCTTATAGTGCCTTTTATTTATAATTTTCCTTTTATTACAATAATAATAATAATAGTAATAAAAAATTATAATTATGATTGTTATTATTAAAATTGTATTTTATTTTTTCATAAAAAATACCCTAATCGTTTAACAAAGCATACAATGGTGGAAAAAAGTCGATAAATCTGGATTTGCATTTCTTCGTAGCAGGGTAGTGTTGTACTTTTAAGTTGCCAAAGTTGATTAGATATACTTTTTACATTAATGATTATACTAAATGATCATAATAACTAAATACATTTGACTATCATATAGGATATTAGCGGTTTTGATGTAAAACAGTCTGAAAACATTGAGGTAGATTAAGGCGAGATCCTAGCATTAATAATCTTAATTAGAAAATATATCTTAGAATTTATTCTCGACTTTCATATTAATTCAGCGTGTGCTCAGGAGTATTAATTTGGCCGGGGACATTAGTTTGAAACACTGGACCCATAAATAAGAGGAAAATCCGAATAATAAAGAGGATGAATTTTCCGCCTGATATTTCTTAGATGGTACAGAATAAAAAAGGATGTTTTATTTTAGGAATAAAAAAACGTCGGAAACCACAATTACTCTTTTCCTCTCTTACTTTGTCGCCTTCTCTCTCACACCACAGAAAACAATCTCTCACATACTATCCTCCTCTCTCTCTCTTTCTCTCACCTTCTCTTTTTCTCTCTTTCTCGCTTGGCCGCGATGTTTTTGACTCATAATATTTAGAACACACATTTTTTTTTTCAAATAAAATTAATTAACCAGTATTCATTTTATAGGATTTCACCAATGGTAAATCATACTAGTTAATGATAGTTACAATTTACTAAAATTAAATAGAGTTGAGGAAAAATCTTGATAAGAATTTTGCCCTTACTAATTAAATGTATGGGTGACAAGTATTTATTGGTTTTAGAACAATCTATAATTGCAATCTATTAATGAAATAGGTAAAAACTAAATTTGTAAACAATGTAAAGTGAACCACTACAATTTACAAATAACAGGTGTTCGATTTTAAAATATAATTAACAGCTCAATTCACTAGTTTTCGTGGTCCGCTTGACCAATTAATATCTTTCAATTAATTAAGGTTTTTAGTTGAGATAAAAAATGTCGTGTAATTGAAAAATGGCAGAAAGGAAAGAAAATTCAAAAGGTGGGGAAGTTAGTGTTCGGATGGATCGAAGCCACGATAGCTCAGGTGGTAGAGTAGCGACGTATCTAGCCGAAAGTCGTGGGTTCGAATCTCGCTCGTGACAATGACTTTTTTATCTTAACTAAAAACCTTAATTAATTGAAAGATATTAATTGGTCAAGTGGACCACGAAAACTAGTGAATTAAATAAGTATGAAATGAAGTATATCTTCACTAAAGCTCTCCGTGGCCATTTCAGTTGTCGCCGAGAATCAAATAGATTGCACTTCATTTGAAAAATGGCAAAAAGGAGGGAAAATTCAAAAGGTGCGGTTGAGATGGGAAGTTGCGTCCGAATGGATCGAAGTCACAATAACTCAAGAGGTAGAGTAGCAGCGTAACTAGCCGAAGGCCGTGGGTTCGAATCCCGCTCGTGACACTGACTTTTTTATTGAAAGATAATTAATGGCGTAATCTTGTTATAAAATAATGTTTTCCTTCTTCACATATGAGGAAAATTACTAGATTTTACAGAAGCGATTCTATACAGGTGTGAAAACAAATTATCAATTTGATTATAATTAATGATGTATACCGAAAGAAATCTACATGCAAGCCTACTCTTCTATGAGAAAATCTACAAATCCTGTCTTGCAAAATCAACTACCGTTTGGATATAAAATATATGATGATATAAAACACTGCTGCAATTGGAGAGGGCAAAACTCAGAGGAGTGGTGGGACTANACACGAAGCTAAAAGTATACTGGAGGACATCGCCAACAATGAGAAGAAACTCGCATCGGCTATCAATCAGAGAACTTTTTTGCTGAAATGCAGACAACACAAGACTCTGAAGATGATCTCAATAAAGATCGAAACGTTGGCGCGATAAAGAAAATGTTTTTCTGAAACCTACATCACACCAGACCGCATCTCACGATTTCTAAATAAATATTATCAACGTATGATAATATAGTTTTTATATAATACAATGTTCTTGATGAGATCAAATGGTTATGAGCATTTATAAAATACCATAAACTTAAAAAATACCTTATTCTGTTTTAAACTTGGTATAATTTGTCATTACAACAAAAATTAATAATAATTTTGATAGCATATAGCTTTACTACTTATAGCAAACAATTACTCAGTTGTGAAAACCGGTGGTAATCAGCCGTTATTGTAATAAATATTTAAAATTGATTGAATTGAAAGCAAGAAGTTTCGACTTGATTAAGACCCCCCAAAATGTTTTTGTTTAAAAATCAAAATACTCCAAAATCAGTTTATTTCAGTTGCCATGCTTGTGTGCCGGTGTCTAAAAAGACCAAGATTACAAAAGGTTTTTATTATTGTATTTGTAGAAAGAAGAAATGCTCAGGAGGCGAACAATCATTACTTCAGAAAACTAAGGGTGAAACTTAGACAATGGTTAAAGCTTCTTTGGAACTTCCTCTTTTGTCGGAGCGGCGAAAAGAAACCGTATTCCGACGGGAGGAACACAGAAATTACAGATATGCAGTAACAAAAAACAATTGAATTTAGTCAAAAACGGTAATTCGGAATCTGGTCAAAATTTTAGGCTATTTTGACAACGATAAACATAGACTGACAGTCTGATAAATTCGATTTATGATGAACATAAAGCCAGAATTAAATGATCTTTTTAATTAATTTAAACAATTTAATTGAAACAATTGGCATAATTTGAGGGATCGGTCTTAATTTTAAAACAGTTTGGGAACCACACAAAAATCTGACTGACGAGAAATATTTGGACAATACTGAGGATGTAAGTTTAATCTTCTATACAATTTTCGTTATCTGAATATATAACTTGTTCATTAAACATTAAACATTTATACCAAATAGCGTTTTATTGAAGATTATTATTAAACTCGTTTAGATATAACATTTACATTTCATTTACCAATGAAAAATCATGTTTTTGACAAATTATTATTGAACCTTAATGGTTAAAATGGTTGTTTTCTATTGGCTTTCAACAAAAGCATTGCGAACTTCTCATGAATGCAAGAATTGCGGAAGTAATTCAATAACTTAAAAATTATCGACAAATTTTAAAAATACTTACTGTCAATCAATAATAGTTAACTACAGTTATGTGATTAAACCACAATTTATCTTGATTGCCTTTCATCACCACAAGCGGACTTAAATCAAAATATAATAAGTTCATTTCTGCAAGTAGCCATCTACAATATTTTTAATACTTAAAATTCGTCTCTGCGCAAAAGTCCAAATGTGACTTCTGATAGCGTTTCTTTATAAATCTAAGGTTCCCAAAGAAAACCTAATTAACTAAATTTAACATTTTTTACCGAAAGAGTTTATTATTTATTTCTGTAAATCGGAATTTTAAACAATTCAACCCTCCCACGAATGAATTTGAACCGAATGAAATTCTAAATTATAAAATAATATCTTATTGCAATTAGGTTATTGGTATGTACATAATGATGGGTCAATTTGTCAATTTTTGATGTCATTCTATGGTAAACATTTAACAGAATAATGTTTTTGTTTATTTTCTTAATCATACATCATAACATTTTTAATAATTGATTACTAATTTTTATTGCAAAAATAATTAAATATCGGTCAAATATCTTATTGGAATTTTTCAAATGTAATATATATCTAACTACTTAATTCGTATGTGATTTTTTTCATGTTTTTTCTGTAAATCGTAAGAATTATTTCAGACTAGAATTTCTTTTATTTTAAACTTGTTTGCTAGCTCTATAAATTAAGATTCTGGCATTAGTCGGACAAAGGCCTGCCACCAATGCTTTATGTTTTACACGCCAGTTGACGATTTATTTGTTTCATCTTGCTAGATTTTTTTGTTTTCGGATTAACAACATCGCTTATTTTTGATCTTATATCCCCGTCACGACATAAATCGCGCTTTGTTATGATGATCAATTTTTTTTACACCTTGTTTTTCACTTTCTGTCTTCATATGATTCACGATTGTAAAGTATTGACAGAATGCGTACATAAAAACATAGATTTATAACATTTCGAGGACGGGGTAACGAGCGAGCGATGAACCCGACACCCGAGGGAATAGGCTCGACGTTTGTTGATTTACAGAAATCACACTGAACTCTGTGATACATGTATACGTTTACTTTTTGCCAAATGGAATATTTGTTGTATTTTTTGTTCTTACCTTCTGGCGTTTTGTATGGAAATTTAAAAAAATGCAACGTTCTTTGTTAATTATGTTGTTTTTAGTGTTTAATACCTGTTTAAATCCTCTGTACATGACCCTGATTTCTTGACGGGTGAACTTAGTCTGCCTGCAGAGGTCTTCGAGGGCGACTGGCATGGGCTTCGGCACCCTGGAAGTCTCGATTTCGTAGACGACATCCTCGACGGGGCTGTCTGGAGGTGTGGCCATCCTGTCGTTCTGGCTTCTTATCCCTCTGGGTCGCCGGCTTCACTCACCTCCCTTCCATACCGGTTCAACGGAAAACCAGGTCCACCTCCACCGGATGCCCGGGATACACTGCCCTGGTGGCTGGTGGGGCTAGGGATCCAACGCCCCCGATGGGAAGACCCACCCGAAATCGTGCCATCTACCGCCTCCGCCTCGTACTCGGGTTGTGGACAAGCACCAAGCACGGAACGTAGCGAAAAAACGGGCATCCCTTATGCTCGCTCTTACATCATAACTATAAATGCAAGCTTACTATTCCAACAGCAGAAAAGGTGGTTTGTATTTTAATCCTTCAACCTAGACAAATATAAATTCACATAAGTGCTCATGATCATAGTACAGAATTGTAAAATGTATGGTAATTTTGACTTTACTCTATATAAGGTATTCTACGCTCTACCATTTCCATAAATTACAATATTTCACGATGCAAATGAATTGCAATATATATGATTAAAAGTCATTTACCTTTAATCTTATATACCCCAACATTTAGAATTTAAATTTATGATTCAACGATAGCTTACTTAGTTTAAGATGTACTTCACCCACATCGAGAGTTATTGTACACTTTGAGCAGTTTATTTTTTATTCTTAACAACTCTTAAATTTCTTTCACTTCAAATTTGGCAGCATTATTCAGAAATCGTGAGATGCGGTCTGGTGTGATGTAGGTTTCAGAAAAACATTTTCTTTATCTTGCCAACGTTTCGATCTTTATTGAGATCATCTTCAGGACCTGGGATTGAAAAACATTGTTTAAATTTAACAAAAACATGTTTTGAATATTCAATCAAAGTATTTCTACTCCCTCAAAGTGTTTGTTTTCTGCGTACGCGTAAAAATATTCTTTTTTGCATTGTATAAATTCACTTTATCCCACATCCTACCTGTTTTTGTTAATTTTAAACAATGCTTGTAAATCCCAGGCCCTGAAGATGATCTCAATAAAGGTCGAAACGTTGGCACGATAAAGAAAATGTTTTTCTGAAACCAACATCACATCAGACCGCACCTCACGATTTCTGAATAAAAATGAATTTATACAATGCGAGAACATTTTAGATTTAAAAAATCTATATAATACTAGAAAATTTTAGATAAAAAAAATGAATTTATACAATGCTAGACAATTTTAGATGAAAAAAATGAAATTATACAATGCTACTACCATGTCACACCAGACCGCATCTCACGATCTCCGAATAATCATTGACTAACGATCACCAAACACCACACATTTCTACACGAGAACAACGAAGAACATGGGATTCTATGAACAAATTTCAACTACGTATGGACACCAAACAAAGAGTATTCTGAAGGACATAGCCAACAATGAGAAGAAACTTAGCATTGTATAAATTCATTTTTTTTAATCTAAAATGTTCTAGCATTGTATAAATTCATTTTATTTATTTATTTATTTATTAATCTAAAATTTCTAACATTGTATAAATTCATTTTTTCACATCCTACATGTATTTGCAAAATTTAAATAATGTTTATAAATTCCAGGCCCTGAAGATGATCTCAATAAAGATCGAAACGTTGGCACGATAAAGAAAATGTTTTTCTGAAACCTACATCACACCAGACCGCATCTCATGATTTCTGAATAATCATCGACTAACGGTCACTAATCACCACACATTTTGGCAGCATTCTTGGATTTTCTGCGATAGCGAGCGAATTTTTTACTGATCTATCTTTCAGGTCCTTTGATAGTGTGTATTCCTATTTGCTTCAGATAAAAAGAGAAAAGCTTTAATTCTTTCAAAAAACTGAGTTTTGTTAAAGAGATTTTTCAACAAAATCGAACGACATTATTCGATCATCACTGGCTTTTTGCAGACTTCAGCCCAATATTTCGATTCTGTTAGCACACGTAATAATACAAAAGCGTAAACAATTTTGTTATCGTAACAATTCATTAAATGAGAAATCAAATAATACAATCCTAAAAGACAAACGGTCCGACCTTCTTATTAAGAGTAAAGATAAAAAATAGTTCACGACTCATCGAACTGCAAGTCGATCAGCTCTTACGCCCTGAAACTGACATCAAGAAGACAGAGAAACTACAAATATTTGGATGTGTCAGATTTGAAAACACTAAATCCGAAGTTAGTGGGAGGGATCGTTTCCTAATAGTTTTATACGAGTTGCGAGAACTTTATTGTTTTTGCAACATGTTCTTATAAATTCCATATTAAATGATCACGAAATGTGTGATGAAGAAAAGAATTTTGCACAGCGGCTGTGCCGATTTGTCAAGTTTAAATAAGGGAACTTTTATCCGTAAAATATGAAATAGTGCAAAAAGCTGGCGACGATCATCACAAACCATACCCCTTTAGACTTTAGTGACTGGGAGTTTTGTAGTTTTCTGGCCCTGACAAGGGCCGGTGTTGTGTAGAGATGACGTGACGAAGGTATGAGCCCAAGACCGTGTGAGTGGTGCTGTTGGTAGTGTCGTGTGACTGAGTAAACCGTTGGCTGAGGTCCAGGGGCCGTGAGTCGGCTGACTTCACAGAGGCCGAAGAAACTGGAGTGCAGCAATTAGCTGAGGGCAGCATTTGGCGTCTAAAGCCAAGTCGGCTGTTTAGAAGGCGAGATCAGGCTAATGCTGCGAGTACCCTTGTGGTAGTGGACAGCCTCATATGCGAACTAAATGAAAGTGGAATTTACACCCAAGGCTATGCAGATAACATTGTCATACTAGTCAGGGGAAAATTCGACTCAACATTAAAAGAGCTCACCCAAAGAGCACTAAACCTGGTGGAACAATGGTGCTTAAAACGGGGACTTAAAGTAAACCCCTCAAAAACCACCTTAAATGCTTTCACCAAGAAAAGAAATATAGAAGCAAAAGGATTACGCTTCTATAGCGAAATGCTGCTTTTAAAAAATGAGGTCAAATCTAGGAATAATCTTTGACAAGAAACTAACCTGGAATCCTCACCTGCAACATACAGTAGCAAAAAGTAAAATATCGCTAATGACCACAAGAAGGACCTTAGGCAAATCCTGGAGACTAAAACCGAAAATGGCCTATTGGCTATATACGGCAGTAATAAGACCCAGAATAACCCACGGATCACTAATCTAGTGAAACAAAGCTCAACAAAAAGTAGCTACCCAAACATTAGGCAGCTTACAATAATTAGCAAACATATATATCACAGGGGCGATGAGAAGAACCCCTACAAACGCATTAGAAACCTTGGTAAACCTACCTCCACTAGAAATATTCATACAAGGAGAGGCTAGGAAAAGCTCATTTAGGCTCCAAAAACAATTAAATTGGAAAGGAACCAAACAATTCGGTCATACAACCATAATCAATAAAATCAGACACCCATTATTAGAAATGGGGACTGACTACATGATCCCGGAAACAATCTTCACAACTTCCTATAAAGTCTCAACAGACTATAAAGGAGAGGAAGAATACAGGAGAGTATCAGATACAATGATATGGTATACGTATATCCAAAACAAACGAAGGAACCGGATCAGGCGTTTTCTGTACAAGCCCAAAACATGAGCAATCAAACTCATTAGGGAAGTATACTTCGGTCTTTCAAGCAGAAATGCATGCCATCAACGCTTGTGTCCTGGAAAATCTTAAAAGAGTTTACACTGACAAAAAAATCCTCATAAGATCAGACAGCCAAGCAGCTATTAAAGCGTTGGCATGTAAAAGAATTACATCAAAACTAGTTAGTGGATGTATCCAAAATCTCCAAAACCTGGGAAAACACAACAACCTGATGATATCTTGGGTGCCAGGGCACAGGGGAATTCTGGGTAACGAAGAAGCAGACAAACTGGCCAGAGGTGAATCTGCAAGACCATACATAGGCCCCGAACCTATCCTTGGGATAACAAAAACAAACATAGAATCCTCCATCGCAGAAAGGATCCAAACAAAACAAAGAGAGAAGTGAATAAATTCTAGCGGTGCTAGACATAGTAAACTTATGCTGAAAAAACCCTCACCAAAATTGGCAAAAACACTGCTGCAATTGGAGAGGGCAAAACTCAGAGGAGTGGTGGGACTACTAACCGGTCACTAGTATTTGAGAAAACATCTACACAACATGGGTATATACAATGATGACCCCATTTGCAGATTATGTAATGAGGAGGAGGAAACAGCCACTCATATCATCTTCGAATGCGAAGCAACAGCTCAATGGAGATTTAACCTAACGTATCAAGTTGGAGCAGCGACAGTCGTTGACCTGATAGTTCTAAGGAGAAGGATTGAGTCTATTGACTGAACTAAGGAACTAGGAAGGTACAATAAGCCAGAAGGCTAAAGTGCCTGGGGAATAGAAACCCTAGTACCCTTTCCACCATACCAAACCTATTGGATTTTACAGATAATAAGGCTCTCTTCCTGCCCCAAAATACATTCAAAATTAACAGAAATCAAATTATAAATCAATTTAATCATGCATTATGCACCCGAAGTAAATGTTGAAACAGAAATCTTCTTTCCAAACAAAATATTATATTAATTTAATAGTATCTTGTAATATAACAATATAAAGACTGACAGAGAGAGTGAGGGAGCGACGGAGAAAGAGAGAATGAGGGGGAGGGATAAAATGAAAGAGAGAGAGTGACTGAGCAGAAGTATTAATTTAATGGAAAATAAACCTATTTAATCTACTCAAGTGAAAGTGTAGACGTTGTATCACAGTTTAGCAAAGTTTCCCATTTACAGAAACTTGGACATGTCAGCTGTCTCGATACCCGCTCGGGTGGCACACTTGTTAAACGGTTGTTTGCTCCGAGTTGGTGTTATTGCTGCAGCAACAATCTAGCAACTATTCCGATCCGTTGATCGATGATGAAGAACAGTGTTATGTTATTAATTTATGTAAAATGGTCATTTAAATCATACGGTTTAATTTTTTAATTTAATTTAAGTTAATTTTTTTAATGTTTTACTTTAGCAGTATACTTGATTTTCAGATGGTTTTAAAAAATTTAGTTATTTCTCAACTGCCATCACAAAACTTGTCAGTATATCCTACTTTTTATTGAGCATTAAATCACATTTTATTGCCGTTTTTACG